CTCCCCTTTTTCGCCTTCTCTTCTCCAGGCTGAACCCCCCAACTCTCCCAGCCTGTCCTCCCAGCAGAGGGGCTCCAGCCCTCCCAGCATCTCCGGGGCCTCCTCTGGCCCCGCTCCAACAGCTCTGTGTCCTTCTGCTGGTGGGACCCCCCGAGCTGGAGGCAGCACTGCAGGGGGGTCTCCCCAGAGCAGAGCGCAGCAGAGGGGCAGAATCCCCTCCCTCGCCCTGCTGGCCACGCTGCTGGGGATGCAGCCCAGGATGCCGGTGGCCTTTTGGGCTGCGAGTGCACATCTTGCACTCCTTGAGCCCAGGGCAGAACCGCTTGTGGGCTGGTTTTCTCCACAGACCCTATCTGGACTGGGGTGGCTTTTAAGCGGCTGCTGTTAAGTTTCCAAGGTGAGTTACTCTGCTCTAGTGTCCGCATCAGAAACGTCTCTGAGCAGAGCTTGGCTGATGCAGTTTTACTGGTACTGACCTTCCTGATCCGGACAAGCCCTTCAGCTTTTCTTCGGTTGTTTGTGCCCATTTGTGTCCTCTGAATGCTGAGGTTCTCAGACTTTGTGGCCACTGCCAGCCCAGCGTACAGTGGGCTTGAATATCAGGGAAAGGGCTGTTGACTTGAGCGATCCTGCCAACATGAGGCTCCTGCTGCATCCCGAGCTCTGCAGACGTGGCTGGAGCCCACTGGCACGCTGCGGATTCTCGTTTCACGCTGGTGGATGTTTTGAAGCGTGTATTTTGTGCTCTGGTTGTTTCAGGTCCCACTATGGGAATGCAGGCGCTGGGAGGACTCTGGCTGCAGGCGCCCAATGGCATCTGGGCTCGAGTGGCTCTTGTCCTCCTTTCCTTTTAATCTCATTCTAGCGTGACTGTGGAGTGAGAGCTGAGCAGCTCCGCTACTTTTATCCCGTAACGCAGTGTGCTTTTGGCGTGGCCTCTCGGGGCGGCGAGGCGGGGGAGCCCTGCCTCTCCACCGCCCCAGCTGCCTGAAGGCACAGCCTCAAGCAGCTCGCGTCTGCGCCTCCCCCACCACGCTCCACTAACCCCCGTGCCCCGCTTAGGCGGCCGCAGCCAGCCAACTGGGTCTGCTTTCTTGCTGGCTTTGTTCCCGTGGAATACTGTCTCCCCGCTTCATGTCCCTCTGCCACGCAGAGCTGGCTCTGGTGTCCTTGTGGAAGAATCGCTGGGTCTTAAAAATCCCATTGCTCATTCTCAACTGACAGCTGCCAGCGACCGTGTCGCCCTCGGCCCCCTCTGTCCATTCATCGCTGCGCCCCGTGTGGGCTCCGCGGAGCTCTGACAAATGCTGGCAGTGTTTTGGGCAGCTGCTGGGGCTGGAGCCAGGCTCGGGAAGGGGCCGGGGAGCCCCGAGCCCACCTGTTCCCGCACACAGGCACCCCTCTATCTCCAGGGCTTTTTTGTCATGGCCCTGAGTCGCTGTGGTCAAATTACAGATTTAGCTGCTGCAGCTCAAGAGCTCTGGTTAATCTGATGGCCTCTTAATCTTTCTTTTTGTCCTTTCTGTTGCCGGTTGTCATCCCAGTGAGTTTCCTTTAGGAGTAAGTCATTCCCTGGAGAAGCCGGGCAGGGTGAAGCCAGTCCTGCTGCTTCGTTCCATGCTGAGCAGTGAGTGCGCAGCGATCCCAGTTTGCTTGCTGGAGGGCCCCGTCCGCTACCGGTCGCGCTGTCTCTTCTGGATTTCACACTTTGAAGTGGCGATGCAGTCCTTCTCCAGAAGCTGTTGTAGCACGCTGGCTACATCTGTCAGTGTGTCAAGTCAGGACATCCTAAGAGCCTTTGCTGACATCCTTCTCACGGCAGGGATCAGAGAGGGTAGCGAATCATGCCCTAGCTTGGTTTGGGTCCTCCATGTCCCTCTCCAGCTGGGACATCCTTTGGCCCCTGGGAAGTCTTCATGCTTTTCCTGGTGTAGGTGGCTTCGATGTCTGGGGTCCCCGTGCTGCACAGCCATCATGTCACCTTTGTTACTGCACTCAGGACAAAGACAGTTGTCTTTCTCCCTCTAGTGCAGATGGGGACAGAGGGACAGAGTTTGGGATTGTGCATGAAACTGGTGACAGAGCGAGGGTTTGGGAGCCTTCCAGGGCTGTGGGCTGAGGGTCCACAGGCACCATGTCCTGAGGATCGCTGGTGTTTGTGTCTCTCCTGCCTTAGCTTCCCCACTCATTAAAAGAGGAGACGGCACTGACCTTGCAGCACAGTGCTGTCAGCTGTGGGGCTGACCTGCCTGGGGTTTCAGCGGCAGAGGTGGGAGGACGCCGTCAAGGCTAAGCATCTTTAGTCCTCGGCTTGTATTTGGTGTCTCGGAGGCCTGCTGCTTCAGGCTGCCGCTAATCTGTTTTGGGGCCTTAGAAAGCAACAAAGGCTTATCTGAGCCGCTTGCTGAAAATAGAAATGAGTGTCGGGAGGACGTCTCGGTGCGTGGCCGTGCCGACAGCCAGCTGGTGGAAACCTTCTCCGGGCTTTGCTGGGTGTGTGTAAAAGGCTGCCTTTGTTTCCTCCCAGCCCACACACTGACGCCGCATTCCTCCTCCTCTTGTTGCCAGATATTCGGGGAGGCTCTCGGGTGTTTAATCTCCAGCAGAACCTCGGGGGATTGGAGCCTGGACTGTAAATCCCGGCTCTGCCCGCGCAGGGCACTGGGAGCTCCCAGCGGCCTCCGAGCCGCCCCGTCAGCCCTCTGTATTGACTGTGATTTCAGGCAGACGAGTGGGAGTCGCAGGAGCTGGAGGGCTGGACTGGCCTTTGCCGGCGGAGAGAAGGCACTGAGCCAAAGCTCGCCAAATTCAAAGGTTTTTGGTGCCGACTGGAGACCTGCGTTGAATGGCGCTGCTCAGCCCGGGGTTGGGTAATGGAAGGGGATCAATAGGCTGAAGTCAGCCACGGGGCATGTTGGCAGAAAGCTGCCTCTTGGGCTTCTCCTGTCTGCTCACCATCCCCTGGAGCCAGCTGGGTTTCTGCAGGGCAGAAAGGAAGAGCATTTGGTTGCCCTCCTGCTCCCCCCTCGATTCCTGCCCTCGGGCGAGCCTTTCTCTGCTGAGGGACTGGGAGCAGGGGCTGGCACTCGCCCTCCAAGCGGCAAGTGGAAGAGTTAAGCAAGCCGGGGAGTGACTGCCACGCTGCAGCTGGTTCAGCCGCCCCGGCAGCTCGCATGACTGCTCCAGGCAGAGATTGGGCTTCCCTGCTCCACTAACCTCAGATTGTCCCTTGCTGCCGCTCCGTGCCTTCTGCCCGTCGGTCACCTCTGTGTCACCTTGTCCTTTGGTCTGGGACCAGGGGAGGCAGTGGGTGGAGGCCGCGCTGCAGCCGGAGGCTTGGCAGCTTCTCAGAGGGGATTAAGGGGAAATTTGTTTCTGGAAGTCTGGCCCTCTGGCTGGTGTGGTTTCTGGGTGATGGAGGAGGAAATGAGTAGAGCCGTTTTCAGTCTCTTCTCCCATCAGGCCAGTTTATCCCAAGCTGGGAGACTGCTCCAAGCTGGGAGGTGTTGAGAGCTGAACACATCCTCCCTCTGTGACCGTAGCACGAAGCAGAGCCTTAGCCACCGCCTGGCACGGAGGATGCTCGCTCCTTGGCACGGTGCAGAGCTGGGCTGGACAGAAATGCTTTATGTGCTGCACTGTGACCACGTGCCTGCTGCCAGCACCCTCGGGGTGCGGGTCCCCGCTCTGATCCCTGTTTGTCTGCAGCTCTGCGGAGCCTCGAAGTACCCACTGACAGGCACGCCTGGGGCAGCGCCGGCAGCCCAGGGGCACCCTGTGCTCAGGAGGGTTGTGTTTGCGTGCCGTGGGGAGCAGGGCAAGCAGCTTTCCTCCCTTCTCCTGGGTGAAAGATGCTGTCATCTGAAAGGGCTCTGCTCATGGGCCCCAGCCCAGCCGTAGGGATTGGGACGCCAAGCTGAGGCGGCTCCAGTACTTGCACAGTCTGGGTCTGCGGGCTGGGCTGTGGCTGTTTCTTTATGCAGCCTGGAGGGTGGATTTGGGCTGTGGCTGGGATGCCTGCTGCTGGGATCGCAGGTTGCCTTGGCATTCTTTACCAAGAATGCTCCCGAGGGGTTGGTTTGGGTGGCTTTTCTTTCTGCTCTGCTTTTAGCTCTCTAGCTGAGGGCCAGCATCTCTGGGCGGTGCTCTTCAAGGTCGTATATCCCAAACTCGAGATTGAAGACGCACCTCAAAGCAGCGAGATGTGCTGCTGGGTGTGATCACCAGTGTCTCCTGGCACCTTGGTGCAGGACAGTGTGTCTTTTCCCCTGGGGTCACTGGCCTGCACCCATGTGTTTTGCTCCTCTCTGTGCCTGACCAGCTCAGTGGGAGCAGGCAGCAGGCGGTACACCAGGCTTTTATGGTGTGCATGAGCTGAGACGGTTTGTGTGTGTTTAGAACACTCCATGTGGTTGCATGTTGCATCCAGAGACATCTTTGTGCGTTACGGGAAGCAGCGGTCCTTGTCCCCAAACGAGACTCGGTGCTGTGCTGCAGACGGGTGGTTGGAGAGAGGCGCACCTGAGCTTTTAGCTGCAACAGCAGAAGATGAGGAGCCTGCAGCTTGGAGGCAGCCTCCCTCATTTCGGAGCTCTGTCCTTCGGAGCCGGGCTCAGTTGGTTATGCTGACCGGGCTCTGACACCCCTCTCTGATCGCTCAATCAGCCTTTCTGTCCCTAACTGCAGGGTTATATCAGACCAGGAAAGCAGTCGTGAGCGGTTGGACTCACGGTTCATCTCCCATGGGCAGGAACAAACACCAGAGAGAGGCAGTTTGGCCCTGGCGGATCAGGCGTTGGCGAGATTCCTGTTGCCTCGCCTAAATGGGGCACATGCCCCTGCCTGTGCTGTGCTTCTCCAGAGACCGACGAGGGGCTTGGAGGGGTGACAGGGGCAGGCAGAGGCTGTGCGTGGGGGAAGGAGCGGTGGTCGGTGGGGGTTTCATGGGACGCAGAGGTGAATGACAGGTTCTTCTCTTCCCCAGGTGTACAAGGGCTTGGACATCATCACGAACAAGGTTTCTCCCCGGGAGCAGCGTCTGTGTAGACACCATATGATCAGCTTTGTGGATCCCCTTGTCTCTAACTACACAGTGGTGGATTTCAGAGACAAAGCCGTGGCTCTGATATCCTTTCACGCTGCAGCCTGCCTGGCTGAGCAGATAGGGACATCCCCCCTCCACAGCCAGGCGTGCAAGAGAGATCAGTGTTTGCATCAGCCTTGGACTCTCCACATTGCAACCAACTCCAGTTTTCAGAGGATACTGCTGGCGAGGGGGGGCTTGGAGCTTCTTTTTTCCAGTTAATGCTCGGGGCAGCTGCCCTTCAGGGCTGGTTGGGGAAGATCTCTGCTGCACTGCAACAGTGCTGAGCTGTGTATTGCCCTCTCTGGCAGTCCTTGCGTGTCCCTGAGTTTTGGTGGTAGCTGGCAGAGGTAGCAGAGGATAGTGAGAGATGAGGGACACCTGTAACCCTGTCCTGCAGCCTCACTGGCTCCTTGGGGCTGGGAGAGTGGGGTCTGGACCCCAGGCTGCCTCTTCCCACATCTCTCCCTCCCTGCCATGCCTCTCTGCTTACACTCCCTGACTGCAGCACATTGAAGATATCTTTGCCCGAGACAAGATCCCAATTGTTGTGGGAGGAACCAACTACTACATCGAGTCCCTGCTCTGGAAGGTCCTTATCAACACCAAGGTACTGTTGGGGGGCTGCATATGCCTCCCCGAAAGGGTGAACCCCACATTCAGGGTAGGCTTCCTGCAACCGGGCACGGTGCTCCCCCTGCTAGAGTGTGGCAAGGAGAAAACCAAAAGCCCCTCGTTCACCCCATGGGTCTGGGGGATCACTCATGGATGAGTGGCTTGACTCGGGGCTGCCTTGTGCCCCACAGGAGAAGACCAGCGTGGCCCCCAGGCCAGTCACCGACAGGAAAGTGGAGCTGGAGCAGCTGGATGGGGTTGAGCTCCATCGCCGCCTGAGCCAGGTAGACCCAGAGATGGCAGCCAAGCTACATCCCCACGACAAGCGCAAAGTGGCCAGGTGAGCTTGGTGTGCCGAGGGCAGGGAGTGCCAGGGCCCAGCACCCCTTCCGGAGGGAATCGTGTGCCTGGGAACACGGCAAGATGGGCTCTCCCATCCCAGGTGGCTGCTCCTAGCCTCCTAGCAAGGTACCTGGGGACCTTGGAGCACTGGTGTTGGGGAGCTTTCTGGGATCTGAGAACTTTGGCCAAGCAGCCCCCAGTTTGAACTGCCTTTGGGGTCCAGTACAGCGCATGGCTCTGGCTCCTGGCTTGTGTGCACCAGGGCTGCTCCCGCTGTGGTGCCCCAGCAGCAGAGTTTATCTGGAGCTATTTAAAGAGCAAGCTGCCGTGCTGGATGAGTAACATACCTGAGCTCTGTGGGAACAGCGCGGCAGCAAGACCAGGCTTGCTGCTTTGGCGGGCCCATCCCAGCCGAGCCCTGGCCCAGGGGGAGCAGAATGCCGCCCACCCCATTCGCACGGTGTAGGGTGATGGAGGGTTGGGCACCTCGAGCAGCTTCCTCCACCTCCCTGACTGGGCTGGGCTGAGTTGGCAGTAACGCTTCACAGCATCGGCAACGCTGGCCCCTTCCCTGCAGCCCTGCCTGGCTGGAAAGGGCAGGGCTGGAGCCAGAACCCCGTTCCCTGCAGGGCTTGTCCCGGTGCCAGGCAGGAGTGGGTGGCTGTGCTCTGAGCTCCTTGGGTGCCATCGCTGTGCTCTGCACTGCATTGCAGCTCCAGGACCTGGGTGTGCTCGGGATGCCGGGCACGAGAAGGGGCAGAAACCTGCCCTCCCCCCACATGAGAGGGTTGGATCGCAGCGAGTGTCTGCGGTTCCCTTCGCTGGAGCCCCCAGGGCTGCTGGGGAAATGGAAAAGCTCATCCTCACCCAGTCTCTGAGCTTTGTCTGTCTCTGCTTACAGGAGCCTCCAAGTGTTTGAAGAGACGGGGATCCCCCATAGTGAAATCTTGCACCAGCAGCAGGAGGAAGAAGGTGGGGGGCCCTTAGGGGGGCCCCTGAAATACCCCCATTCCTGCATCTTGTGGCTCCATGCAGACCAGGCAGGTGAGAGTGGGCTTTGCGCAGCTCCTGGCTGGCTGAGCACAGTGATGTGGGGTTAGAGCTGACTCCCTGCTCCTGCCCCAGCCTCCTCCCTGAAGAAGGCAGCAATACCTTTGGCATCCGTGGGTGTGACAGAGGACTCGCTCCCCTTTCCTGCTGGGCTCTGCCATCCTCGGGTGGATCGTGATGCTGGCAGTGCCGAACTGAGTCCTAGCACGTTGTCCAGTTGTGGGTCTCCTGAGGGCATGGCTGCGAGCGACTGAGTGTGTCCTGCTCTCCTCCTCCCAGCTCTGGACCAGCGGCTGGAGAAGCGGGTGGATGACATGCTGGCTGCGGGACTACTGGAGGAGCTGCGGGACTTCCACCGACGCTACAACCAAGAGAAGGTGGCCGAGAACCGGTGGGTGAGAAGCCAGCTCCCTTTCTGCTCCTGGTCCCACCTGCCAGACCCAGGCAGGGTGCGGACCGACCCTCCCTGCAGCAGCTCCGATGTATCGCTGGTCCCAGCCCTCCTGGCAGCGCCTGCTCTTGTGGCCGGGCCAGCAGACTGGACGGGGGCCCGCCCCTGCAGGGGCACCCTCAGTGGAAAGGTCTGAACCAGCCAGATCCTCCAGCGCTTCCTGGCCTTCCCTGCCAGAACCCTTGGACCAGGGCTGGTCAAACAGCAGAGTCCTTGTGGGTCTTAGTGTTGAATTAATTTTGCCTGGACCATACCTGCCAGGCGGTGACTTTTCCCCTCAGTAAAAATTACTTGGTGTTGCCTGAGTGTTCACACAGTGCAGCTGACATGGGGTGGCACTGAAGGCACCTGTCTGTGTTCCTGTGTGTGCCTGGCTTGGCTTGTCCCCTGAGGCCGTGGGCTTGTGTCACCTATGGAGGTGCCTGCAGGGTGGGATGCAGAGATCTGAGCTATTAAGGGGAGTGCTGGGGTCTACCACTGCCCTGAAGGAGACTGCTTTGACCTCTGTCTCTCGACTTGTTCTCCAGGCAGGATTACCAGCACGGCATCTTCCAGTCCATTGGTTTTAAGGAGTTCCACGAGTACCTTGTCAGTGAGGGGAATTGCTCACCCGAGACCAGTGCTCTGCTGCTGCAAAAAGGTGAGAGGAGCACCATGCCCTATGTCCCTCAGCCCCACAGAGCGCCAGGTGACTCTGCATAATGGTCTGAACCAACCGCAAACCTTGGGGCAGGTCTTGTTGGGGTTGAGCTGCACCTTTCTGTCTGCGTTTTCCACTTCTGCCAGCCCAGGGGGCAGGGACTCCTTTTTCAGCGCTTGGAGAGCATCTCTGAGCACACCCACAGCAATTCCTCCCTCACTTCCCCCAGGCCTCCTTGCAAGATATACCGGGCACAGCCTAATTTGAGATCTGGAGCTGGTCCACCAGTGACCTGGGTGATGGGATCCCAGCTGGGGTGTGAGTTCTGTAGAGAACAGGAGTGAAGCAGAACTCAGCATCTGTTTCAGCAGCAGGATGGTGGGAAAGGATCTGGGGATCTAGTGGATGACAGCATGAGTCAGTAGTGATGCTCTCTTTGATGGCACGTGTCATTCTGGAGCGTCTGGACAGATACCCTGTTGTTAGAGGAGAGAGCTGCTCTGCTCCTCAGCACAGTGCAGGTCCCAGGTGGAGTCGGTCTGTGTGGAAAAGGGTTCAGTGCAAAGTGGAGATGGAGTCTGAGGAAACCACAGAAATGATAAAAGGCTTGAAAACAAGTCTGGTGCAGAAGGGTCTTGTTGTGTCTGCTCAGGAGATGATTGTGGAGGGATCCGATAAGTCTGGTACTAAATATTGAAAAGTTGTACAGTGGTAAACCATCCTCTGGGCCCACTGGGGGTAGGACAAGGAGTCCTGGGCTCCGTTTGTGCAGAGGAGCATTCAATTAGGTGTTATGAGAGCAGTGCAGCCCTTGAAGAGATTGTCCTGCCTGCTAAAAGCTTCAGGGTGCAGATTTTGGGCCCTTTCCACCCAGTGTCCATTCAGGGATATTTGGGACACCTTGTGCATCTCTTCCGCACTGCCACTGCCCCTACACTGTCTGGTAGGGCTCATCCTCTTCACCATGATGACCACTTCTCCCTGCTGGCTCAGAGACCTCCAGACCAATGGTAGAAATACTTCTCTTCAGCAAGCATGGCACCATCCAGCACAAACTTTTGTCTTGTGTGATTTCCCCCTGCTGGAGCCAACAGCCTCTTCTCAGTCTGCTCTGAATTCAGTTTGCAGCGTTGCACTGACCTTTGTTTTCATTTTCTACTCCCTCTGTTTCAAAGGGATCCAGGCACTGAAGCAGGTGACCAAGAGATATGCCCGGAGGCAGAACAAATGGGTCCGAAACCGCTTCCTGAAACGTAAGTCCTCTGTTCCTGCCCTGCCTCGCCTGTTCTCGCATCCCTTCTCATCCCTCCTTGGCACATCCCCTGCTCCCAGCTCAAGAGAGGAGAGTGGTGGCTCCTCTGCTTTGGGGCAGCGTGTACTGGGGGGGATGTGAGTCTGGCAGAGATCAGACCATTCTGCCTGGATTCTTCTGGCTGGTCCAGGCTGTCCTGGCTCTGCAAGTGTCTGCTGCCGGCCAGATCCCCCCAGCATCCACCCAGCAGCCTCTGCCCTCATCCCACCCTGAACAAGGGGGAAGGAGAGCAGCCGCTCGGCCCTCCAGAGACAGCCCACCCAGCGCCGTCCAGGTTTACCTTGCCCACAGTCCGTCTGCCCAGACATGCGGGAAGCCAGCTCCTTCTCACTGCTTCTCACTGACCCCTGGCTGCCTGTCAAGAGATCTTCCCTTCCCAACAGAAGTGCCATCAGGACGGCTAATACCCCGACAGAACAAAGCAGGCAAAGGTTCAGCCCCGTGGTGGGCAGCAGTAGATGATGATGGCTGCAGCATCCCCGCAGCCTGTCCTGCCGACGTCTCCCGAGGGGCTCAGGGAGGGGGTGCCCAGTACGGTCCCTCTCCCCACGCACCCACACATGCTTCCCGCGCAGGACGAAAAGCCCAGTTGACAGCTGCCCTCCAGATTAGGAGCAGGAGCGCATTGGCTGCCCTTATCCCGGGCCGTACTCACCGCGGTGGCAAGGAGCCAGCAGGACTTCCCCATCCCAGCTCCAGCCTTGGAGCAGGGCCAGCAGCAGCAGCTGGGAGCCGGGCACTTGTTGAAAGGTGCTCGGTAGGGGCAAAACAACAATAAAAAAAAAAAAATTAAAAAAAAAAAAAAGGCAGGGAGAAACTCGAGTCAAAAGATGGGCTTTGAAGAGGGTGCAAGAGCTTTCCCGGAGCCATGTGCTCGGTGGCTCTGGCTCACCTTTCTGGTGGCAGGTGTGCGTTCAGATCAGCTTGTTTGTGGTTACAGCAATAAAAAGCAGCACCTGCTGGAGACTGGCACGCGGCAGCCTTTGATGGCTTTGTCCGAGTGGGACCGTGTGCCCGGTGTCTGCGGGCAGGTGAGCCGCCGCAGGGCAGCGCCGGCGCCGGAGGGAGTGGGCGCTCTCTGATTGCAGCTGTCTCGCCCCGGCTGGGCTGCCGTGAGCGCCCCGTGCCCTCGCGCGGGGCTGGGGGAGGCCGAAGGGGTGGCTTTGAAACTGTGCCTTGTCAGGTCGAGGAATTCGTAAAGCATCTCCCACCGTGGCCTGCTACTGTGAGCTGGGAGCATTGGCTCCTGCAGCAGCACAAGCAATCACAGCTCTAGTTGAGAACCTGCACCCGCAGATTCCTCATCCAGACTCCATGCCTGCTTCTCCTTGTAAGCTTTGTGTGATGGCTTTGTGCCTGGATCTAGCTTTTGATCTTCTGCGGCCTCCTGTGGACCATGGCCGTGATGAAAGTGTTTGCTGTTATGATGGGCTGTCGGCGTGTTCAGATTTCATAATGCTGTCCTGAAGGCAGACAACCATGAAGGTGCTTGCTTGAGGTCTTGGGTGTCCTTGCTGTTTGTGAGGGTGGTGCCCCCCAAGCTGAGGTCTCTGGCAATTTTGGCTCTGGAAAGGCTGGTGCTATTTGCTTCTGAACGCTAAAGGACAGCTGGATAGGAGAGAGCAGATCCCCCCTGGTCACAGCATTACCTCATGGGTGCTAGGACATGATGCTGGGGAGGTTCTCGTGGTGACCTGCCTTTCTGTACCACTGTAGGTCCCGGGCCCAACGTACCCCCGGTGTATGGCTTGGAGGTGTCTGATCTCATGCGGTGGGAGGAGGATGTGCTGAAACCTGCTCTGGAAATTGTGGAGAGCTTCATCCAGGTACTGGGTAAACTGGAATTAACACATGAGACTTCTTGGTAGTCTCCAGGCACCACAGCTTGGCACTTAGTCTCTCCCATGAGCAGGGCTGTCTGCTTTACATGCCCAGCCTTGGGCTTTCCTCGCAGTGGCAGGGGGTTGTTCGTGTAAGCTTGAAAATTTCTCGTAATGCCCAGTACTCTGCTTGCCTTGCATGGTAAAACTGCAGTGTCTGTCCTGCTAACCTCAGTGTCTGCGTACGGCAAGTTCACATCCCAAACTCTACCAAAGTGAACACAGCCAAGCAAATTTTCGTAGCAGAAACCAGTTTGAGATGTTATTTAATCTACAGGGACGTGACCCCCCAGCAGAGCCCGTGAAGATGGAGTACGATGTAAACGAGAACAAACGGAGTCATCGCATGTGTGAGCTCTGTGACAGAGTCATCATCGGGGACAGGGAGTGGGCAGGTAGGATGCTGCGGGGGGGAGAGGAGAGGACCTGGGAGGGGGCACAGCGAGGGCAGTTCCGCGGAGGGATGGAGCGAGGCAGTTCTCTGCAGCAGAGCGGCTTCCTTGGCTCTCTCTGCTTGGCCGGATGACCCTCAGCGCATGATCTTGGGCTTTCAAGGATTGTTTACAGCCCGTGTATGAAAGCAGCCATTTGCAAGCCCAGAGGGGGTGCAGGAGCTGTGCCACAGCAGCCATCTGTTGGGCTGCCCCCCCCTCGCCGGCACCCAGTAAACACTGCCGCTCTCCGCCGTCACGCCAGACGTGGGGATCTATACGTAGCATCAAACCTCAGAGCAGTCTGTGTTTAGTCAGGGCTGTGGGTCCTTTTCAGCACTTTAGGTACTTCGTCAAAAAGCACAGAACAAATTTGTTTCTTCTAAAATTCTGTTGTGTAAAACGGAAGTTTCTCAATGTTTTTAATAGCTCAGTTTTGCTACAGTATGTCCTACTGGTGTGGTGGTTTTTTTTAAAAAAAAAGAGTATTCCTAGCTGTAATGGTAATAGAAAGGGATTTTCTATTTTCAATAGACTTACTTTAAAAGAGCTCAGTTGGAATCAGATTAACTCAGTGAATTTATCTGTGCTGTGAGGCTCATGCTGAGAACCAGAAACAAAAAGCAGCGGAGAAACTGGCTGCAGAAATGAAACTGGTAAATCTCCATGTGTTGCCCAAATGCAGTATATGCAGATACAATGCAAGGATAAATTTCCCAGGTCGTTGGTCGTCGGATTTGAAGGGGTCACTTATTCCTGTTGCTCCGGGGAGTTGCTGAAAGCAAAGATGGAAGTTGGCTCAGAATAGGAAGCTCATTGTAGTGAGATTGGTTTGTAAGTGTAATTGTTGTTTTAGCCAATCTCAGCTGTCTCTGCTTGGAGGTGCTTTGAAGGAGCTCTACCTACGCCAGAACTGGAGGACTCTGAAAGTTATTGGGGTCCGTGCCCTCCTTCCAGGTCCACCAAGTTTTATGACCGAATGGGAGCTCCTCAAGTTCCACCCCAAGCACTACAGCTGCAACTACACCTCCTCTAGGGATGTCATCTCAAATTCTGGTAGATGATGACAATACCTTTCTCAGCCGAGACCAGCTGCTGTTCTCTGCATCCAGCTGAATTGGGCTCAAATCCCCAGATGGTGGGAGAAAAATGGTCCGAAACCTGGGTGTTACTTGGAACTGCAAAATATAAAAGCTGAAAGGGAAGTGAAAACCGTAGCGGGAGCTGAGTCGATCTGCAATCTGGTCTGTTTTCTTAAGTCAAGTTATAGATAGTTCTGGGAACTGCTTCCCAGTACCCCACTGGCTCTGCAAGATTTTTAAATTTTATCTAATTTTACAATTTGTATGGACTTAAAAGAGCACACCTCCCCAGACCGCAGCAGAAATCGGTGCTTCTTCCCGCCACTCTACGCTCTGGTGTTGCTTGTGACAAATTGTAAGAGGTGAGACTTTATTTCAAGCTGAGGGTGACCCTACAGCATTGTGATAAAGCAGCAGCTTTGCGTGTAATTTCGTCCTTTGGCAGAAGAGGATGTCTGGAAAACACCCGAGGGCCTTGATTCAGTGAGCACATACCCTCATTTAATTAAGGCCCTGCTTGAAAAGTTTGCTCCTTTAATTGCTGCTCTGATCTCTTGGAAATAGCAAAACCGCCCTGCTAAGATGGTACATAGGTCTGGTTAGAGAAAGCGCCTTCTACTTAGATAATACCGCTGATACAGGAGGTTTTACTGTCCCCGGCTATGTGATTTCAAACAGAAATGCAGCTCCTGCTGCCCCGCTGGGTCAGTACAA